GCATTTTAAAGCCTTCTGCAGATGTTTTACTGCATTTAAAGCCTTCTGCAGATGTTTCACTGCATTAAAAGCCTTCTGCAGATGTTTCACTGCATTAAAAGCCTTCTGAAGATGTTTTACTGCATTTAAAGCCTTCTGCAGATGTTGAAAACAGCACCTCAGACAGAGGAAGTCTCTTGGATGAGAGTCGAAACGTTTCTATATATATATATATATATATATATTTTTTTTTTTTTGAATGTCCAGAGGACCAGATTGAACTTTTTTGGATCTTATCTAAAAATGATGCAGAAAAACTGGTTCATGCATTTGTCACATCTAGACTGGACAATTGCAATGGTTTATTATCTGGGTGTCCAAATACTTCTTTAGAAAGTCTTCATTAATCCAAAATGCTGCTGCCAGAGTCTTAACTGGAGTTATTAGGAGAGATCTCTCCAGTTTTAGCTTCATTGGCTCCCTGTCAAATTCAGAATATAATTCAAAATCTTACTTCCAAACCACAAAGCTCTCAACAACTTAGATCCATCTTATATTACAAATCTTATTGTTCCATATTTTTCTAACAGTACACTTTGCTCTCAGACTGCAGGTCTAGTTGTGGTTCCTAGAGTTTCCAAAAGTAGAACAGGAGGCAGAGCTTTCAGGTGTCAGACTCCTCTCTTGTGGAACCAACTTCCAGTTTCTGTCTGTGATACTTAATAAATAATTATTTTCTACTGTATTTTTTGTGTTTGTACTGCATACTTTTAAATTTATGGTATACAGTATTTATGTCTTACACTGTGTGTTTAATATTCTAGTTTCTACAATTTCAAGTTTTTGAATATAATATTCAAAGAAACTTTGAGTGTCTGTACATGGTAATCTAAATGATTTGGCACGGTGGAGCTGTTCATGCACCCAGGGGTGGGGGAGCTGGGTGATGGGGGCTCAGGGGAATGGAGGCACCGGAGTGGTTGTTCGCCCAGGCACCAAACAGGCTAGGACCGCCCCTGACAAAAAACCTTATCTAACCAACAAAAAGTCCACATCCTGACAGAGGCAGGAACGAAAGCAACAAATCTAGAAATAAAATTATAT